CTGATTTACTTTCACTCCAATTCGAAATCACTTCTAGATCCTGTTGCCGGTGAAGATGTGCCTCCGTAGCCGATGTCCTGAAATCCAAATGCAGTGACGAGACAAGTGTGCTGTCTTTAGCAAAGCAATATATTGTATTCTTGTTTTTTTTCCAATAAGTCGTTGATATACAATAAAAAAAAGGGTTGGAGACAATATGGATCCCTGGGGAACACCAGCGTTGATGGTGAAAGTATAATAATAATATTTTATTCACCATTCACGATACATAGTGTATATATGGTAAGTCAATCAATAATCAGAATTAATACTAGGTATAAATTTAAAAATGTTAATATTTATACAAGTCATCGACGGCCACTTGCAGGGAACGTTCTTTCAGGAAGCTGGAGAGCCATACACAGAAATGATTTGACAAGCCATAGCATCGAAGTTTTTCCAGCAAACCCTCATGCCACACACGGTCAAAGGCCTTAGAAATATCCAACGCAACAACTCTTGATTCTCCATATTTCTCGATTGCGTTATTCCAAATATGGTTGATATACTAGATAACAATTGTGAATATACCGGTCTTATTTGAGCAAATTTTACAAGAAAATGAAATATTTTCAAATATGTCTATAAATCGATTTTTTGACAGTATATCAAAAGATCTGCGCGGACCTTTATTCGCATTATTTCATCATATGATTTTCTGTGAGATGGATTAACAACATCGCGCCACTACGCCCTATCAGTTCAAGCACTCCATTGTTCCTTCGACGGTATTGTTCTCGTCAAACCACAAGCTAACTGTAACGCGAAAAAGACCCACTCACGTATTTCTTTTGTCTCTACGCAGCGTGCTTTCACCCAAACAGTTATACAGTTTCTCGTCTTCTTCTTTTTCTACGCTTTTTTATTATTTTTATTGCTCGAATGCATCACGGAACATTTCGTAAGTCGTCACGATTCGACGAAACGCAACTTCAATGGCGTAGCTGAATGAAACTTTCGAATTATGTCTTATAGTTCGGCTACGGTATCATAATATCTTCAAAAATATATTGCCTACCAAGAGTTTTTGAAGAAAATTTTTGTAATACGAAGTATATTAAGTAGATGGTTTTCTGTGTGCGACGAGGGCATCTTGCCTGAGGATTTGTAAGTCGCTGAAGAACAATAATGCTAGTCTGTTATTGTAATCACAATATATGTATATATTGGTGACTTTTATAAGTAATTGATAAATGGTTATTGACGGTGTTTCAAAAAATCGCCAAAAATGAATACAAATATTGATTATTCAAACGAAGTTCTTATGAAATTATTTATTATACACGGACAGTGTGATNTATTAACAAAAAAGTATTGCTAGAACTGTTTGATAGAAGTGGCAACGCCGCAATGCTGAAAATATTTTAGATCGATAGAACAAGTAAGGAAATGTGAGAGGTGAAATTTTCAGAAAAATCATGCTTTGTATTTTCCAGAAACGTCTAACCTACCATCGACCGTGATTCACGCTGAATACATTATCACTGGCGACAAGTGAATATTTACAGTTACCAATTTTCAAGATAGATATGGTGTTGATAACGTATGGCATAGTAATCTTGATAATGAAATTATTGGGCCCCACTTTTTTCAAACACCTCTGACTGGATAATTATACTTGGACTTCTTATCAGGGACTCTAATTGAGTTTCTAGTAGATTTGCCACTTAAGCTAATAAAAAATTATGAGTATCTCCAACATGATGGAACTCCACCACATCACAGCAGAATGTACAGAGCTTTCCTCAATACAGAAAGATGGATAGAGAGAGAGAGAGGGAGAGAAAGACTATGTGTTGATTATCCAAGATACAGGACCTTATTGACAAATACTGGTAAAAAGAAAACATGTAAATAACTGCATCCAGATAAATATACAAATACATAATTACACGTAAATAATACATATAAATAATCACATCTAGGTAAAAGTACACATTGCATATTATTACATATAAGCACCGTCAGTTTCATATCGTTTCATCGTTAAACTATTCTGTCAGATTGTAATAGGCTTTAGATGCTAGTCTTTCATGTGATTTTTTCCTGAAAGTTTCAAGAGAATCCATGTTGTTCATATCTTCGGGAAGTTTATTATATATTTTGACACCGACGTAAATTATTGAGTCTTTGATCAGTGTAGATTTAGGGATGATTAATGATAAATTAATTGCATTCCGTGCAGGACGATTTTTATTTTCATATAAAGATTCATTCTTGTAAATGGGACATGTAGCTTCTAAAACGTAGATTGAGTTTAGTGTCAGTGTTTCGTGAAGCAGGAAAAGAGGTTTGCAGGAACTCAACCTATTTACTTGTCACAAATACCCCTCCGCTCCTCTCAAAGAGTTCATTATCAAACGAACCCCAGAACTGGATTGCGTACCTCAAGTTTAACTCAATGAGAGCAAAATATACATTTTTGCCGCAGCATAACCTAACTCTTTAGCTGTAGACCTGAGGGCAAAACTACCGAATGATAATTTTTTGTTTAGCGTGTTAATATGATTTGTGAATTTCAAATTGGTATCTATGTTCAGTCCCATGAGTTTTATATTGTTGTCAGATTATATGGAGTCAGCACCTAATTCTATATCCAGAAGAAGACATTCAAATGTGAGAATTTTTGTTTTATTGAAATTTAAACATAGAAAATTTGCATCGCACACTCTTGTAACATTGTTTTGAAGCAAATTCATATCTTCAGAGTAGAATGGTAGTGTCGTCGGCAAATAAAGTGAAGGAACCAGATATATCTCAGAGGGAAAGATCATTTATATATAGAAGAAATAGATATGGACCTGAAACTGATCCTTGAGGTACTCCCCAACTAACTTTTAGTAATCCGGATGTATGGTCAGTTTTAACCAGTTGGTTTTGTCCTGTCAAATATGATTCCATCCACTTCAGGGTCATGTCTCTTATACCATAGTGAGAGAGTTTCTGCAGTAATATTGTGTGATCGACACAGTCAAAAGCTTTAGTAGTATCACAGAATACTCCCGCCACGTGTTTGCCACATTGATGCTGTGGTTTGCCATAGGAAATAATGGTCCTATCGAATGGCCACCACATTCACCGGATCTTTCTCTTCTAGATAATGAATTCAGAACATATTTTGAAAATATTGAGGAATTGAAAGATTCAATTAAGAGAGCCTGCATGGCTATCACTCCACAGATGTTAGAGAACTGCCACAAGCACACTATTTCTAGAGCAAGTTTTTGTTCAAGGAATGATGGAAGACAGTTCGAACATTTAATGCGATATCGCATTAGACGGTAACTTGAAAAATGTAACGTGAGGTATTCCGTTATCATGTTCATTTTCTACGATTCATTACTTCGTTACATTCTCTTTCGCAACTGTTTCTTTTTCATTGTGGTATATTACGAAATTATCAACTATGTGCTTGCAACTATATTTAGAATTTCAGTTTCTCATTTTAAAAAAAGTTCAATGATGGAATATTGTTGAAGTGTCTTTTACAAGAAACATCGAGAAATACATATGTTGTAAATATGTTAATGAATTTGTAATTACAATGTATAAAAAATAAACAGTCTCGTATTAAAGAAATATATTGATGATGGATTTCAATGAGCGAAACATCGCATTGAAATATGGGTCGAACCAAACTATGAAAAACATGAAATTAAGCAAAAGTTTATGTATCATATTTTAATAGTATTGATATCATGTCATTTTCATTGTTTTACAAATATCAGAAACGGTTAGTGATATTGTCGATCTGAGAATACCATTATCTTCCATCCCTAAAATGGCAACTTTTGTTCCATTTCACCGTTCTTGTAGCACTTGCCGTTTCCGAGATAGCAATAGTGGTATCAGCTATCAACCATCTGAAGCTGAACAACTCAATAAAAGATCTAGTTGACCATACACCAAATAAGAAAGACATTTTCAGTGTAGACTGCGTTAGGTTCCATCAATTTATGTACAGCTTGTCAAATATAGGAAGAGGTTTAAGAAATCTTTGTCTCTCTCTCACTCTCACTGTCTTCTAACGAACGCAGATCTAGTGGGCGGGGCCATAACGGAATTCTTAAACCTCTTCCTCTATTTGACAAGCTGTAATTTGTTTTAGCTCAATAATGCCAACAATTAGACTCTGAAATAATTCATAGATTAAATAAGAAATTGAAATTGTGTGAAAGAAGAATATCAGTCTGAAGTTTGCATTCAATCATTTGAAGATTGCTATAAGGCAATTGTATTAGTCAATATTACCGGAAGTATGAAATCTGAATGGAACTAACGGATTCGAATCCTAGTTTGACGATGTGCTAAAACAGGTTAACATCAGTTTTGCAGTCTTGAAGACCCTGAATCAAATACAAGATATGGAGGCCGAATTGAACAATGCGATTATCATAAGTTATCATAGGAAACATAGACTGAAAAGTAGAATAAGAATTAAAATGTATATGTTAGTTAATCTGTGGAAAAAGGCTAATCCGGAGTTCCTTGAAGAACTGTAACAAAGACGAGTACCAGAGTACCATTTATTGAAAAAAGCTTGAATTCAGAACATCAAGCACACCTCACCTTCAAAGATGATAAACTCGAGATCTGATCACCTGTAAATTTTTTGGCAGAAAGTTTTATCGTGAATAATTAACGAATAGAGAAAGTAGAATTTGTTGAGCACCTGGATTCCAAGGTCAAAATTCAAAACTTCCATGGAAACAGTTCTCAATTGTTTTTATCAACTGCTAGATTTTCAAAATGTTCTATTCTTATCGTAGTTGTAAAAACAAAAAAATGAAAAAGGGCGGCTTCTGGTCAGTTACTGAATCGTCATTTTTAACTTGAATTTTGAATAAAATACTGTACTCATTTAAGAACATTGAAATGTGAAATATCAGTCACATTTTTATTTTTAACCTGAACTAGATTTTCATATGAATAATTATTTCTCATCATAGCATTCTTTTCAGATATTCCGCTCAAGTACATCATCACCATATATATCAGAAAACTTGCTGACATAAACAAATGTTCAACAGAAGGAAGGGGTTTGATAATGAAATGTGTTCATCAAAGTGTGGAAATAGAACTTGATAAAGTACCTCTGTCAGAAAATACTGGGAGATGTTATCATTTTATAACCGACCAACCACAACTACCACAGAAATTACAACTGGGTCTAGTGAGTACAAATTTTTGTTAATTTTATTGTTAATAAAAATTATCGTGTAGGTAATCATCTTCCCTGCACCGTGTCTCTGTGTCTTGACTGAGAAATGTAAATTGAACCAACTAAACTAGATATATACAAGGTGTTTTCAAAACACTTCTGCTTTTGTTGGAATCTCTATCGAAATTAGGATATCGATGAGAATTCCATCTGCATGATTATTTCGTTGGTGTACGACCAAAAATATGAAGTTCCATCAAAAACAATAGCAATGAGGAGGTAGGCAAAACATTCACAATCCAATTTTGACACCTCCAGATGTTACAGAATTTTGCGATACTTTTCGATATCAATGTACGGTGCAAAAGAAAAAGTGTATATACTATTATACACTATATATCACTGTAGAATACATGAATAATGCCATCGATGCTCTTCAGTTATAGCCATATTCATAACCTGGATAAATATGTCAGCTCTGAAGCGTTGTAATGATCGTAACAAAGTAGGAATTGCAAAATGTTGATTTGAGAGAAACCCCATGAACATCAACATTTTATATTCTTGTCACTAAAGTGACTTACGAATACATATAATAATACTTCCAAAATACAAATCATGAGATTATAAAACAACAACAAAAATTAATTGGCACTCCGGGGCGACTTCACTGATTCCGGTGGCGCATTTGCATTTCCGGGTTTTCAGCTACAGGAAAACCTGGAAAAACCTGCAGCACCACATCATCTGAAGATCTTGATCTACCAATATCCTCTCTCTGATAAAACAAAATGTTGGGTGTCTCCAGAGGTTCCAACATTTCAAATAACAGATTCACCAGTATTTAAATTAAGGTGCTGATAGGTAAAGAAAGGATAGCAGTAATGCACAAGAAATTACTGATTTTACAGTAAAATTTTATTTTCAAATCAGTAAAAGTTTACTGATGTTGGTCACAAAAACAAAACAATCATATGATTCCAATTAGAAAAAAGTTTTGGCTATAAATCTGACTTGGTATTCTTTGTTCTCACAAAAAACCCCCGATATTTTTATGTATCTAGTATATAATATATTAACAACACTTCCTAAATACAAATCATGAAATTATAAAACAACAACAAAAATTAATTGGCGCTCCGGGACGACTTCATTGATTCCAGTGGCGCATTTGCTTTTTCAGCTGCAGGATAACCCGGAAAAACCTGCAGCATCACATCATCGGAAGACTTGATCTGCCAATATCCTCTCTCTCATGAAACAAAATGTAGGGTGTCTCCAGAGGCTCCAATAAATTCAATACATGGCCGGAACACGTAGTGACACGATTATCGTCAAATTTAAACCAGTCCGTTTCGTCTTTGACCAAGGCGTAATAATAACCAGATTCAACGCCAGAACCACAGTGAACAATGACTATATATGCATGAAGATTAGAATAGTGGTCTGCTAGATTGAAGTGTTCACCTACTTCGAACCTTCGTAAGAGTTTGGTGCTTCCGTCAGAGGTTGAGAGGTCATCATCAGTGTTATTATTAGATTGACTGGTGCCGAAGCTATACTTGTTTTCTTATAATAGTCAGTTAGTTTGGCGCATGTTTGGCAATACAATCGATCATCACCTGTTAAAGATTCCATTTTCAGATGATTTAACAATAAACTTTGCATGAACTGGTTATTATAGTCATATTAGGAAACGCTAGTTGAAGTTCCAGAAATTCACATACGTTGTTGCTACCTCTTGAACATTTACTACAAAGTAAACAAGTGAGGATTTTTCCAGCAAAAGATTTACAAATACAAGACGAGATAGACTGTACGGAATCATTCAATCCAGAGCGGTTGGGAGGGTTAATTCTGCTATTGTTTTGTTCACGAAGAGTATTCAACCCCAAGTATTCAAGAACCCCAAGAATTCGGAACAATTCTCTTGTTGTCCTAACTGTTCATCGATATCACTCAAACCAGATCTATAAACAAGTACGACACCCATTTTCAACTGAGTCAGGTAGATTGCAGTTAATTCACAGTCTTGTTCAATACTGAGTTGTTTCAATTCAATAAGAGAGATTTTAAGCCCCAGTCATTACTGTTATTTAGGTAAATGGCTAAGCCATGTATTGGTGGCCTTGCAAAAACTGCTGATTAGTTTATAACCCTGAATATTAATCAGTTTGAGAAACTCTTCACTCCACCAATGTTCGGAAAAACATAGAACGTCGTCGCTATTGTCAATAAAAAAAGATTGATTTTTTCAACTTTGTTAGCTGTACCTTGTATGTTAATGTGATACATACTCACTAAATTCTTTTCATTTACACTGTCAATGGTGATTAAACATTTTAATGGCTTCGACCATTATTTGTTGTCATTGATCTTTATGATTTGAAGCTAATGAGGATTCATTCAAAGTATGTATAATATGAACTGTCAAAATAGAGCTACTCCTTTTCAATCAATCGACATGACAGAACAAAGGCAAATGTAAATGAATTCCTCATTTCGACTAATAAGAACCTCACGATGTGGCATTCCCAATCCAACCGCAGTCAAGAAACAATCGAATTTGAATCGATTACGCTCGAACACCTGTCGGCTTATCAAAGAACAATAGATCCGAAACGTAATAATCTCAGTAGCTATTGTTTCGTGAAATTATAGTAATTAGGATTGAAATAACACCGTGTAATTGAACAAAAGACAGTGCGTGTGCGGGCATGTGCTTAATGCTGTTCACGTCACATGCGAAAACGAGACTTTGAAAGAAATAAACCGTGGATCCTGTTTAACTTTCAACATTTCCGTACACTCCTAAAGTTCATCACGAAGAAAATGAAATTATAGTCCGAGTTTTGTTCGAAATGAATTTAGATGTAAAGTTGCAGCAACTACAGCGGGTCAACCAACTATAGTTTGTTCATCGAACAGATGGAGGTGAAAAGAGCGTAATCACAGTTTTTGTTTAATGTTCGAAGGATTTAAGCCGTTATCATATAGAAGAACAAATTGAATCTGTCCTTTTCGGTCCGGACGTACAGTTTTTATATACATTCAGACTTTCCGGAAAAAATTGCCTTCCATTAACTTTGTAGACACTGAAAGTGCACACGTGATCACTTGTGTTCGGCGAACACATGACTTCCTATTTAGAAGTAATCAGTATACATATTCACAGTTGTAGAATCTTACGAACGTTTAAACTATTTGAAATCTTATGGATTGAAATTTGAATATTCGTGTAAACTGATATTTGAAGAAGAGCCAACATGAAAATAAAGTTTATCCAGATTTATTTCTCACATCTGACTGTGTTGAGGAAGATATACACGCCAATAAAATAAATACTTCGAAGAAAGTTCGGACATTGGATGATTAAATCTGACAGACTTTCGTGCAAATTTCCTCGCAGAGAAATGTCTTGCAGATAGATGCTTCTGCTTTGTCGAGCAGTAGGACTTCGCTGACTTTAATCGAGCGATCATCAAAACCAGTTTTGTAGTAATACTCCTCATCAGCGCAAGATCTAACCTCATGCTCATTAACTCTAAGCGTTGCTCATACAAAACTTTCGATTGAGTTTGGAACCGTTCAATTACAATGAAGTATTGATTTTCTGTCATTTTTCCAGTCGATTTTGTAAAAATATGGTATAGTCGAAGTAACTGGTATTGTGCATACTAAAAGTGTCGGCGCCCTCAAAGGCCAAAAAGACCAGTACAGAGAAATAAAGTCGCTGTCAACTAGTCCACCTGGACTGAACTAGTCCAAGTAGACTTGGAGGTTCGTATTGGATAAATTTAACTAACCGAGTTTTATGATTGGTTGAAGAGTCATAAATCAAAGTTGAAGTCATTTTACGGTGACGAACAGAATGCGAGCTGTCGTGTTGCCAATGTTCAGTTCAGGAACTGATCGCGATTTGAGCGTTGAAATTCGATATTGGTGCAGTTATAATTACTTAAATGTTTTGTTATCTGATTAAAATGTGGCGTCCTTGGACAAGTACTAATAGTAATAACGAGTGTGATAACAACGCTGACTTTTTCCTGTGTTGTGATTCCAATAGCAATGGTGAACAATGCGAAAAGGAGATTCCAGTGAATGAGATTCGGATGCATTTAAATATTGAAACAGAGTATGTTTCAATGTGTATAAGAATCTACATCTCAAGTTTGCTTTCGAAGGAAAAAAACTATTATAAGCAGCAACAGATTTGACCGAAATTCCTTTCTCAACTGTACGTAAAATAGTCAAAAACAAACCTTATGAACGCAAAACGCGATATGATACGGGATTACTAAAACATTTAGATGTTCATCTAATAAAATTATTGAAGAAAAATTACGACTGTTAACAAAAACAATGAGATTCCTACAACTGAAATCATTAGGAAGAAATTGAATACTTCCGGCCATAACGTGAATTGGATAAAGAAACTAGAATTCAGATTTAAAATAATGAACAAACATCAAGCAGTTATGGAAAGCAGCAGCAAATAACTAAATATAAACAAGAAAAACGGCAAATTTTATATTTGGACGAAATTTGGTATGACACTCACGACACAGTTTACTTTACTTTACTTTACTTTACTTTACTCTACTTTACTTTACTCTACTTGAACTATACAATTATCCGACAGGAAAGTTAATGTTTCGAAAAAGAAATTAATTTGCTTATTTTTTTCAAACACTATCTCTGTTATCTGTACACCGGATAATAGGAGAATCTTGAAATGAAATTTAATTTTCAATGTAATCCATAAAATCAAAATTTACTATTTCTCGTTAATTCCCACCGTTGAAGCCACCAATATATAATGGTAACAGTTTGCTGAAATTAATTGGAATTTTACCACAACCACACGTGTTGACAAGATTTATATTGGCTTTGTGACAGATGATAACGTATATTGTAGGGTTGTTGATGATGTGCTTTCGATACATTAACAGGACTCTGTTGAACAGAAACAAAAGGATCCTCATTCGGATTCATATAGCGAATAGTTCATC